ATATGCGACCGGTCTTGTGCTGGAATGTCAACTTTAAAAGATAACTTTTTACTTCTTCCCCAAATAAGGATTATTTTTGCTATTTTGTTCATATTTTTCAGTTCCTTTAAGATCAAATTAATGCAAAAGGTTACAGTATTTTAGGTTATAAGTGGTGAGTAAAGCCTAAGGATATCTAAGGCAAACAAAATATTCAACAATGTATAATGTTTCGTTAGCTTAAGCTTACTTGTTACTATTGTTAGATACAAATAGCAAATTACTTAGTTATTAATAGTAGCGTTATTGTTTTAATGACATTTAAATGCAAATGTATTAAGTTAGCAAGAAACTTATAGGCTAAAGTACCAAATTATAAATGATATAAAGTTTTAGTAACACATCATAAGCTTTCAAGCTCTTTTAAATACATCTCTGCTAGCTCGAATTACAACAGTGACTGAAAAAATAAAAAGTTTAACATGTACAAATAAACCGTGTGAGCATATCAGGAGATGATACACATATTATAGCTAAGGCCAGTGTTTATTAAGTCTGTATCTCTGCGATATATAAAATAATAAATGTGTTAAGCATAATAAGATTGGTAATTAATTCAATGAATACATGTACAAATAATGTATATACAGTAATAATTATGTCTGAAAGAAGTAACGTAGTACCTTGTAGTGCACAATACTTATCATGTCATAGTCCATTTCTACGACAGTAGTATAGCTAATGATAGGGGCCTGGCATAGCCTGCTGGTTAGGGCACTTGATTCGTGGGATCAAAACACGTCGCCGAACATATTCGCCCTCTTTCATCCGTGGGGGTGTTTTGATGTGATGGAAACTCCACCGTTCGTTGATAAAGAAAATCTCAAGAGTTAGAAGTGGGTAGTGTTAACTAGTCCCCTTTCCTCTACTCTATCATTTCTGAATTAGAGACAGCTAGCACACATATCTCCTGATTAGATGTGCACGAAATTCAAGAAACAAACAAGTAACGACAGGAATATTATATGTTTGTTTATCATTACTATATATTAAGAGTATTGTTAACTATGAGCAGTAGTATCATTAGCCACGGCAGTAATATCATTAGATAACAACAGCGGCAGTAGTACAACTAACTAAAGGTAGTAGCAGATAGAGTTATTTATAGAAATACGTACCATGAAATTAGTGTAATACCTTGTTTTAAATATTGTTGTTTCTATCAATGTAAGCTTTTTACGAATACTTAGATTAATATAATATTAATAAACATACTCATTAGGGGATTTATCTCTTTCAGAAGAGGTGCATAATTTCTCTATAAATATCTTCTATAGAATCATAATCAACCACGTGTAAAACTTATTTAATTATAGATACAAAGCTTTAAACAATATAGCTACCTAACTTATTTCCTTCTTATCTTCGTTTTCAAACTTCTCGATATATTTATACATGTCTCCTTGTTTATCTTTCCTATCATAGTTTTCCAAGTCCATTCTTCGCCCTCCTCTATTCTATTATCATTAATCCATTCGAAGTCCTTGTTTCCTTTCCTTTGCATCTCTTCACATTACCAGATGTATTTCATAGTTTTTTCTCCCTTCTTACTTTAAACAGTGTATAAACATTTCCGTTCTTCTTAGTTCTTACGTTTCCTCTATCAATGTTACCACAACCTTAGCCCCCCAGTGACACAGCGGTATGTCTGCGGAGATACAACGCTAGAAACCGGATTTCGATACCTGTTGTGGGCAGAGCACAGATAGTTCCTTGTGTAGCTTTGTGCTTAACTGTAAACAAACAAACAAAACCACAACTTTGGATTGTCGATGTCTTTATAGCATTTTCCTCTATCTCTCACAAATTGGTATTGAGTATTTTCTTCTCTTCTCTATTCATAATCCGCACAATCTATTGATTGTTTAACTACTCTCCAAGTTTCTGTATGTTTTATTGTTTCTTTGATTTTATTTTTGTTTCCTTCTTTTATAACTTCCTTCTTCTAATCAATTTTCCCACTTTTGTGCATCCAATTTTTTCTAATGTTTTTCACACCATCAATATAGTCTCTTATATCTATATCTCTACATTACCACTGATCCAACAAACAAGTAAAAAAGTTGAATTTTCTTCTTTATATTATTCATTTTAGTTCTTCTTGTTGCATACTACCTGTGGCAGTAAATGCTAAATGCCCTCCAGATCTTTATATATTCTGTTTCATCATTTGGTTGAGTGTATTTATACCAGTGAACTAATATCCATGTATTTGTATTTATTTACCACCTCGATTTCTTGATTTTTCCATTTCTATTAACTTATCCCTTTCTTTCTCCATTTTGGAATATCATGACCTTTTTGTTTATCCAAGTTCAATGTTAGTTTGGCTATCTCAAAGTGTCTTCCAGCTTCTCATTAGCCTATTCATTCCTATCTTCTCATATGTCACTATCACTGCATCTTCTACGAATTTCAAATACTAAATCTAACTTCTTTAAGTAACAGTGTCTTCGATTTTCTTCTCGAACCATTCCTCTTACAAGAAATATATAAATAAATAAAGTTGCATTGAATAGGAATCCTTGTCTGACTACATCTTGTGTGCAAGAAATTCTTCGGGTTGTTTATATTTAACTTCTGCTTTATATATTTTTTTCCCTGTGGATCACTTTTATCATCCTCATCATTGTTTCTCTAATGCAAAATTTATGCATCTTCTGTTAACCGTATCAAACGGTGATTTTAAGTGCCTGAAAAAAATCCTATTTTGTTTTACACCTTATTTTCAATAAGTGAATTCAAGATTAAGATATTGTATTCCGTCGAGTATCCATTTCTAAAACCACCTTGCCTCTCTGTAATGATTTCATCTTCATCCATATATTTTCTCATACCGTCTGCCATTGTCTTGTACACTTTTGGACATCATTTTTATTAACATAAGTAAAAGTGTTTTATCTCTTGCTAAAAAATCTTTTCTCCATCTACTCTTCCTTATCTTCTACAGATCCTTGTCATAGTTTTCGCTTTTTTTCTATTTTCTTCTAGTTTTTACTTATGTATTTATATATTATTTTTCCACTATATTACTAAAATTGATTAAATATATTCATGCTGCTTGACTCTTTACATTTTTTACACTATTAAAAGTCTTTGTTTTTATATTTGCTCATCCTTCTTTTCAATTACGTATTCTCTGTAACTTCTTTCCATTCTTAATTTAGGACCTACAGTTCCTCATTGTTTGTTTTTCTCTTCATTGCCACTTTGCACTAACTCTTCTCAGCGTGTTTTACAAAGCCATTCTTCTTTTCTTCAATTAACTTCGACCTTTTTCCTTTTTTCTTAACGTATCTTGCCTTTTTCTTTCATTTGTCATTTTCACAAAGACCAGTAAGCTCATTTAATTATCTTTCTCTCCCTTTTACATTCATCCTTTCTGAACGATATATCCTCTTTTTCTTTTAAGTTACATTATCCACTACATAAGTGTTTCTCTCACCTATATATTTTTCACAGATTCTCCGTGTTTTCTTTCAATCATAATTATCAATCCATTTTTCTTGCAATTTCTGTTATACCCATCTCTCTCCTCACTTCTTAATCTTTAATTTTTCCCTTCTAAAACTACAATAATTTATTTCTTCTTTTTTTCTCACACCTTCTTCTCTTTAGTATTCTCACTTTAAAAAATATTCAACTATTGTTAACTGATATCCTTGTCCAATTGTTTGTTCTATCATTTTTCCACTTCCTCACGAATTTTCCTCATTGTTATACACTACAATTACAGATTTTCCCTTTTTTCTTATTCTACTGCCGTCATTTTACTGCAGTAGTAAATGACTACCGGTGCATGTTAAGACAGTTCTTACTACTTAGTGCTTCTTGATTATCATGTTTTATATGTACGTATAAAACATGTTCTACTACATTCTACTGCCGTTTACCTCTGATGAAGAAAGGTGCACCTTTCGAAAGTGCTCGGGTTATGTTTTTATTTTTTGTGATAAATATATATATATATAGCGTTTAACTTATACTATTGCCTGGAAAGTTAATAATTTTAACTCCAGTGATCCAGCGGTAAGTCTAAAGACTTATAACGCTAAAAACTGGGTTTCGATCCCTGTGGTGGGCATAGCACAGATAGATCATTGTTTAGCTTTAAGCTTAACAACAACAACAAAAAAAAAGGTAAAACTTAATGATTCAATTTTGGAGAGAAGGTTTTGTGGAAAGATCTTGAGTTGTTCCTTTTATTGCTTTATTTATTAGAATAATGTTTTCCTACTTATGATATTGCAATTTGCTTTTATTCATCACAACTCAAATCTATCAGTTTCGCACACTTTGTCAAACTTGGTTACTTGTTCCTCTCCGTTCCCAAATGTACCATGGAAACAAAGTAGTAAATATAAAATACCAAAACATTCGACGCTTTTATGGCGAGAATATATTGTACAATTTTTTTTAGGATCAGAAATACTGATAAAGAATACAAGTACGTTGTTAACCGGAGCGACCTGTTAAATCGCACTCTAAGTTGAAAAGTGAAACGAAATTAAATAAAATTTGCAAAGTAAATTTTGTCATTCGCTTTATTTAATTACAACTAAAAAACTGGTTTAGATACATATTCACTAGCCACCAGAAATAATTTCACTTTTGATACACCTCTTTAGCTTTTCCATTTTTCATACAAAAACAAGCTGATTGACGTTCTTCAAAATGTCGGAATATATTGTTTTACATTTGAAACTCTTTGTATTATGAGTGTTACGCTACTACGTCCTTGATAAGCTAAAACAGATTACAATTATATTATTTATAATAATGAACAACAGTAATTACACTCGTTCCTGCTTTATTCAACCGGCTATTCAATAAGATACGCGTTGAAATACAACTGCATGCGTAGGATGCTATATAGTATACTTTATACATTCTAATGTTTTTGCATACAAGGTTTTATATCCGTTAGTTGTAAAAAATAATTTTAATTTTCTTACTTGTAGCCGGAGTAAACAACGTACGCTGTATCTACATCGACTATTTTCCTAAAGAAGAATACAGACCTGATCCTAACGACTCGACAATGGCTATTCCGTGTAAGTACTGGTCAACAAAGATGCAATGCTCTTTTAATTACGGGCTGTTATGTGCAGTGGTAGGGTTCTCTTTAAACTCTTCACTCTAAGACAGTTTATTTTATATCGTTTTAGCTCATTTTCCAGTGTGCCATAGTGATTTAACTGTATAATGGCTCAAATATTGCTATTTGTACTTTTAAATATTATCAGATATTTAAAGTCATACAACATGAAATATTTTAAAGTAACGATATAAAACAAGAGTCTTGATTAAGAAGATTTATCCTCTGTACTCGGCGGTCATACAACCTTTAAATTGTTGCTAATTTTCACCACAATTGAACAATTACTAATATGGTATTGAAATCAAGAAAACTAATCTTCAATCAGAATTATGAATTACATAATGAAATATTATTATGCTTGTTTTATTAGAAACAATCAGATTAGTTAGTTTCAAAGCCAAATGTTATCTATTACAAAAGTTATTAAACTTAAGAATTATTAAAGCAATAAGTTACTTGAGCAAGGAAGCACATTATGTTAATCTAATAATGGGTAGGCAAACAACGATTTGTTGATGGTGGAGCGTATTAGATGTTTCGACAGAATATTCGTTTGTCTTCTTCATACCAGTTCTGTCAAAACATGTGGTATATTCCACCATCAATAAATAGTTGTTTGTCTACCTATTATTAAAGCAATAATCTGTAACCAAAATGCAGATACAGATAACCCCTAAACTCATATCCGAAGTAGAATGAATAGCAGTAAATAAAAGTAGAGAACTACAACAGTAACTTGCATTTTTCAATACAAAAATGTGATGTGAAGTTTTAGTTTTCGTATATGATAAACGGACGGCATATAACCAAAGTTATTTCTCCATCAAGATTATTCGAGCCTTTTGTTTTGTATTTAAAATTATTTTATTACGTGAAAGTACAAGATCACTTTCTTTTATGAATTATCATGGTATATAATGCCTTATGCTGGCAAAGCGTGATCTTGTGATAATAGTTTTATCATAAATTGTCACTGACCTTACATTATCAATAAGAAAGCACAACAAGCGCTTCGCACGCCACTGTTGACCAGGTCTTTGGCTAAACACCAGAACTCGGTTGGGAAGGCAACACACAAGGTATCAGTCAAAACGCTATTTATATCACTCATATAACATACATCAATTAATACGATATATGACGCCTTATGCTAGGGAAACGTGGTCTATTGATCGATAGCTTTTGTGACATCTCAATAAGACTGATGGAAATGTCTCGCTGGCAGTGGCGTGCGACGTATAGCGGGTGCGGTCGAGATACTATAACATTTATTCTTATTGTAAACCTGTAGTGTCGGGTAATTATGGAACGACTTGCAAAAAAAATAAAGTATTCTCCGGTTTGTTGTGATGTAAGATCGCTTTCTGACGAGCTTCACTGATACTTCTAAATATGTAACATGAAAAATCCGTGAACTCTGATGGTGCGACCAACTGTGATATTGATAATAAATTAATGTAACAGATGAGTGAAATAACCAAATGAAAACTTTTATATTTTGATACGAACCCTGTTATTTCACATTAGGTAGCAAATCCATTATGTACTTTCATAAGCTCTGTCAACTTTCATGTTCACCATAATGTACACAAATATTGCGATATTTTACAACAACACATGTAATGTTCCTCAAACACAGACTTGCATTAAACCATAGCTCAGTTTATTATTATTATTATCGTAGTGATATAAAGATATAAGTTATGTGTTTTCTAACAACATAAAATGACGTTCATTTTTCAATTAGAAAGTGTGTTTATTTAACTTCATTGTTTTGTGGTAATTTTTAAAATATTGGTTTATGCATTTCTGGACATATAATCCGGCCACTACCAGTTTTCAAATAATCAGATCTTGTTCAACTCCTATTTCTATTGCATAATTTAAAAGTAATAATTAAAATTATACTATTCTAAAATTACATTTTGTAGTTACTTGTGATTAGCTAAGTTACTCGAATGTTAATTAAACGTCACTAAAGTCACACTTACTGTACAATTCATATAAATATATATAAAGTGAATCTCTATCCCCAATATTACACCATAGCCTTATGCTTAGGGCACTGGATTCGTAGTCTGTTGGTCGATGGCTCGAATACCGTCACCGAATATGCTTACACTTTCAGCCATTGGGGTGATATAATGTGACGATCAATCCCACCATTCGATTAGAGTAGCCCAAGCGTATGCAGTGGGTAGTATTAACTAGCTGCCTTCCCTCTAGTCATTCACTTCTAGCTTAGGAACGTCTAACGCACATAGCTCAAAGCAGTTTAATGTGAAATTCAACAAACAAACAAGCAATAGCGCTACACTAAAATTCAACAAACAAACGAACAATAGTGCTACACTGATGTTCAACAAACAAACAATAGTGCTACACTCAAATTCAACAAACAAACGAACAATAGTGCTACACTGATGTTCAACAAACAAACAATAGTGCTACACTGAAATTCAGCAAACAAACAATAGCGCTACACTGAAATTTAACAAACAAACAATAGCGCTACACTGAAATTCAACAAACGAACAAACAATAGTGCTACACTGAATTTCAACAAACAGTGATGTTCAACAAACAAACAATAGTGCTACACTGAAATTCAACAAACAAACAATAGCGCTACACTGAAATTTAACAAACAAAAATAGTGCTACACTGAAATTCAACAAACAAACAAACAATAGTGCTACACTGAAATTCAACAAACAAACAAACAATAGTGCTACACTGAAATTCAACAAACAAACGAACAATAGTGCTACACTGAAATTCAACAAGCAAACAACAGCGCTACACTGAAATTCAACAAACAAATGAACAATAGTGCTACACTGAAATTCAACAAATAAACGAACAATAGTGCTACACTAATGTTCAACAAACAAACAAACAATAGTGCTACACTGAAATTTCCCTGCTCATCACCAAAGAAGAGAAAATGAAAGTGACATAACTATGTCGAAACGTAATTCCGATACAAGAGTTCCACCACGACTTTATATCAGCTGTGGTCGTCAGCTGGCTTGCTGTTTTGCATATTCAAAATCGTTTTAATATAATGTACAAACCTTCTGTATAATGTACATATTGAAATTGAAGTTTCATTTAGCCAGAGTTTCAAATGTTAGTCCACACAGGAAGAAATGACTCCATTTTATAACTCACGCTTTCCTCAACATACGAAGAACTCTGATAGGGTTTATTTTCAAATGAACACTTTATAGTTAAAAAAAATAAGTTTCACTACAGATTTTATAAAGTAACTAAAGTGCCCCTTACATAGTTTGCGTAATTACTAAATATATCACTAAATCGAAACCAAAATAAGTTAATTTTCTGTAAAGGTTTGATCTAATATTTCTAACAAATATATTTTACTTCATCTTTGTTTGAGGATATGTGTTTTTATGAGTACGGAAAATTAGTTTCTTCTTATGAAATATTGCACTCGAATACGGTTGATAGCTTAATAAAAAAATTATTTGTTTTTAACACATTTAATCTTATGGTTTTGGACGTGTTAGATCTAATTTTATTGGAGATTTGATTAACAATGTATGTGTGTTTTAGATTGGGCTATCTACAGTGTCTACTACGGGGAATCGAACCCTGGATATTAGCATTGTAAGTCCTTAGACTTGCCGCCAAAATAGCTGTTATAGAGATGTGTATAGCGATCTCAATATTTTACAAGCGATTACTTAGTTTTATTAATATGTATGCATTTGTTTGCTTTAAAATGATAAATTCTCAAGTATATAAATTGAAAATTCGTTATTACGCAAATATAAAATTTACAAGCCTCCTGACTTCAAAATTCACGTTTCGAATTGATTATCACATTAAAAAGAGAGTCTGAAAAATCTTTACTTTAGCTTTACTTTTTTAATGGTAGGTGAAGTAAATATTAGAGGAAACAAATGAAGCAACACCTCACACTTCATTAAAATCCAGTTATCGTAATGATGTCGCCTGCCTTCAAGAAATGAATAGTAGCGCGTAATCTTATTATGCAAATTCACGACGGATGTTCATCCACGCACGCTCATTGATGTAATTGTCTTACAGAAAAGCAATAGTCACATTATTAACCCATTAAAAAAGTCATCATCATAAGAACATTTTCGGATTGCTGTGTTGTTTTTCATAGACTTATAGAAAATGTGCGAACATTCTGAGTAGAGAACAATATAATTAAGCTTCCAAGGTAAAGTTGATGGATTTGACATGTGTATATACTTCTTGGTAGATAAAACAATATCAAAATAAAGCAACAATCGGATACATTTAACACCACGATAGGATTTATTGGCGAATACGTCATACAAAACTAAACCCAGGATACTAAAAATAGAAATGTCAATACGATTATCACTTAAATGCAGCCTAGTCTTCATTAGAATTTCACTGAACACTTAATGTAAAATTTGAACATAAAGTAATTTGAAAGTAACTTATTTCTAGTTCAAGTCCGTGTTTTCTTCCACCAGTTATCAAACATTTAATTACTTCAACTCGTGGTGTGCAACCACAATCTGAAACAGATAAAAGAGTAAGAATATCTTTAATTAAACTCATTCGATTTTTATTTTTTTGGTAAAGATACGCTTCATCGCATCCTCAGTATCTTGGCATGAATGTCTTTAATTCTAGAATTACATATAGTTTGTCTGTTTGTTCTTCGAATTTCGCTCAGAACTACTCGACGGCTATCTGGTGCTAGACGTCCCTAATATTGAAATGTTAGACTAAAGGGAAGGCAGCTAGTCAATACCACTCACCGACAACTCTTGGGCTACTCTTTTACTAACGAAAAGTGGGATTGATAGCCACACTATAGCTCCTCCACAGTTGAGTATATTTGAGGAAGGGATTCAAACTTGCTGCTACCCGTAGATTGCGAGTCGAGTGCCCTAACCCCTAACTTATGACAGGCCATTATAGTTTGCCAAAAATCATTAGAATTAAACTACATTTGCACAGTAATGATAAATTAAGAATTTATTTCCAAATTATTCTTTATAAACGAATATTGAATATATATTACATTAAAATGTTTTATCTTGTTCCATTTTTAACTGTAGAAACATCACTCGTAAATATATTTATTTACTCAGAATTTGAATAGCTGTCTAGTTTGTGTTTTATTCCATTCACAGTGATATTAGACCTGAATTCTCCACAACCGGTGTGAGCCATGAAAGGTTTTCCTTGATAGCTGCCAGAGTAACTGACATGGAAAGAAAAAAAATCTAAGATTACTAAGTTTATAACGAGCTTGGTCAGAAATGGATTTAAATAGCCAACTGTTAGAAAAATCTAAACGCCCGAAGCGGAGAGCCGATAAACTGAATGGGCATTTGAAAGCTAGACTTAGGACAAAGTAACCTATAAAAACAAAGTATTAGATTAAATCTATCGATCTATATATCTAGACATGAAATAGTTGGTTGATATTCTAGATTCATAATTCTTTATCAGGAGTAGTTTTGAGTTATATATGCATCGTTAGGTTTTTGTTTTCTTGTGAATTTCACAAACGTCTATGTGTAATTATTAGATCAAACCTTGCAGCTATGAGTTCACTTTATGGTAGTTTGTGGAATACAAAAAGAAATAAAGTTAGTTATAGTTTTCAATTTAACTCTTGGATTCCACTCGAACAGTATATCTATACCGATTATATAAATCAGATTAGATGTTTTCTCGTGTATATCTATCCAAATAAAAAGAAAAAAAGAAATGTACCTCAAGTATATAGTTCGAGCTATTCAATTTATTTGTTTGTTTTTTACTGTCATTATTATAATGCAACTGTAACTATACCAAAAATTCAACCCGTATACAATAACACAAACATAAAATTTACATTCAGTTATTTCACGAGGTATCGCATCCTCATGTTTGTATGAATATTTCAAACTTCATGCCTATGATGATACTTTTACTACATTTTCATGGCCAGAGATTCAAGATGATATTATATTATTCCATTAATATTAAATTATAGATATAAATTGAATTGCAATTGCAAAAGTTAATAGGCTTAGAGATAAGGTTTCATTGTCAAACAAACGTTTTAAATCACTTTCAGTTGGAACAAGTTTTCAGTTTCTCCTTTTTAATCGATAATAGAATCTACGATTTATCTACGTTTTTTTGCTTAATTTTTCCGAACAATTACTGAATGTTGTTATTACAGATGCCATGACAAGAGCAGCTACTTACATTTTTATAAGTTGCATAACTCTTCTGATTGGTGAAATGTTGTGTTTTTGTGGCCACGTGATAAGAAGACGTCGAATACTAACTTTTGCCGCAGGAGTTGCATTTATTTTATCAGGTAAGTGAAATTAACTTCTATAGTAGTTTCAAAAGGAACAAAAAAGAACGATTTATGGGAAAATATTGTGTCTTGTGTAATTATGTTTCAAGTCACAAAGAAATATATGAAAGTTCCTTAGCTTTGGATGTGGCTAATAGCCGGTTAACTTTAAACACTAACTTGTGTCGTATTTTGTTTACGAGTAAAAGGGGGAAAAAAAAAGCTCTGTTTCTTTCTTCTTCTTAAGAGATTCTAATCCCATGCAAGAAGCAAAAATTACCTTTCATTAAAGACACAAGGGCAGCTTTCTTTTCTATTATGAGACTAAAATCCCCATTTTTCTTTATTCTTGAAGTATGTAGTTTATTCTAAGAAGAATGTGGCTGAATATAGAATTTGTACGAACGATCCCTAAAAAAAATGTCTTATTTTGGAATAATGAAGTTCGAGAACAGTTTCAACATTTATCTATAACAACTTTTAAGTTCAGTCCATTTTTGGTGAAAATACTTATATGTCATTTCTTTTGTCATTGAACATAACTGCATTCTAACGTTCTTAACAGATTTAAATGCTCAAAATTACTTATATATTCTTTTAACACAAGAAATAAGAAAGCTAAGGACTGCTTTTCAAGATGATAACAGGACTTTAAAACTTATCGAAAATCCACCCACACAAATAAATAAATGAAGCTTTCCTCACATCATCCAAAACTGCACAAGCAGTGACATATAACATATATCCCTCAGAAAAGTTTGGTTCTATTTACCAATTTATTAATGAGAAGTATGATGCTAAGTATATCAAAGCTAGTAGATGATTGCTAAAAGTGAGAAGTGGGGTATATTAAAATTCCTAAAACATTAAAAAATAATGAAATCTGCTTAAGTAAACGTTAATTAATAACAGATCGTTCTAAAGGCAGAGAAAATTATAAATCATTGAACAATGGGAAATTATTTGCACCTCGGGGTGGCAAATCACCAACTTAGTTTTACCTCTTTCTAACAAGGGTGTATGAAACAGCTCTGATTTTTTAGGTGTACTGGCCTCCTTTATTCGTTATTAAAGACGAGCTAATAGATAACATATTATATTGTTGCTAAATAAAGTGAAAATTATCATTCTTTACAATTATTTCTGTGGTAATTAAAAAGTAGGGAGCTGTCATTATTTTTTAAGTGATGTGTTTTATAACTTTCGCTTTAACATGAGCGAGTTGTTGAAAGGACGAAAGTAGGTACAGTGTAATCTAACTTAAGATCTAATGGAAAGTACCTTTGTTTCTTAAGCTTAAGGTGTGTCTATTTTCCTTTTTATGAGCGCAAAGTATACAATGGGCTATCTTCGCGCTGTGCACCGCGAGGAATCGAATCTTGAATCTTAGCGGTATAAATCCGTAAATTTACTACTGACCATTTGTGGGTAAGTTTAAAGGGACAGGTGCAAGGGTTATAAATAGATCGTTCGTTCTTTTCAGACATTACACAAGATGTCTTGATATGCTTCCTTACGCCATTGAAACTTCAGGTGTACTATTGCAATCACTGATGAACAAGCGCCATGTAAGAGAGACAAAACATGAAAAACATTCTTAAACAGTTAATTAGCTTCGGTAGATCCTAACTTAAATATTTGTTTTAATAATTTAGCTCATGATTTACTTCCTATTTAAGTACAACTCAATGCTTCGATATTATACACAGACATCATACTATCATAAACGCTTAATGTTCAGTCAATAAAATCAGTGTAAATTATGTTTGGTGTTTCCGATAATATTGATTAAGTTTCTATCATTATTTTACTTTCATAATAAATTGTCTGAGAAATTTTGTTTTATTTTTGGTCCCTGTACTTCATGTGGTTTAAGGATTTTGCCTTAAACTTGTGAAACATAGTTCTAGGAGAGAAACCTCTAAAGCAGACACCAGACAGAATTATCTTTTCCATTGCATAAGGCAGTTGACTATGGTAGTTAATGATCTCTGAGTGCCAGGCAACCTCTACACCTGTGACATATAGGTTGAGAAATAATCTACATTCCAGGTTTCGTGATTGGTTGTTCGAAAAGCATTCTAGTAACTACTTTCTTTAGGCCTGCGGTTTCTAAGGCACCTCCTATCATATGTTTCAGATGTGGAGAACATGCTATACTTTTCTGTGTTAACATCGATCAGCGTGATGTTTATCAAACATTGTTTCTTATTTAATTTCCGGCTACAGTTTTAATTAACACAGGTTTCTTTAATCGAATAATTCAGCTTCACTCTTTGCAATTACTTTAAAATGGCTCTTTGACTTTAATTTTATTTCACTAGTTACACTTTAATATTACTCAAAAATACGATACCCTATAACCGCAGTGCTTTCGAAAGGAGGACCTTTCTTCTTCAGGAACAGTATCGTTAAGCTGAAGGTAAAGTTTATTATTGAATTCGAAGTTTTTAGAGATAAGACAGGGCTGTCAAAGACAGTTGTTGTTTGAGATCCTGATCGCCTTAGGCAAATATCTCCTGCAGTTTCCGTCGTCTCCTTCTGGAAGAGCAGATGTCTTATCCTTGTCAATGCAAAAGTGAATTACACCCCATCAAAGAAAGTTTGTCATCCATATACTATAGATAATGGTCTAACCTGCAAGTTTATAAAAAACATCGACTCTTTTTCCGACAAATATGACCGTAAACAGTTTAAAATTTCTAAAAAAGTTAGTTGCACATCACAGAATACCATTTATCTAAAGTGCCTAGCATGACCAGGTGGTTAGGTCGCTCAACTCCCAATCTGAGGGTCGCGGGTTCGAATCCCCGTCCCACTAAACATGGTCACCCTTTCAGCCGTGGGGGGCGTTAAAATGTGACGGCCAAT